CCCCCCCCCCCGCTTCAGTTGTTATCCTTGTGTTGAATCACTGTTCATGTTCTTATGGGGAGTTGTCGGCCCCTGGTATTCATTTTCCAATTATAATCAAATAATTTGGCTATTATAGTATTTTATTGTTTGGTTGCCTTTGATTTTTGCCAAAAGAACAAAAAGTAAAAATACCCCTTATGGCATGGGTCTTTTTTTTTTTAATAATTGTTATGTAACCCTGAAAACATTCGTCAAAGAAATCCGTAAGATTTGAAAGCTGACATCCCTTTTGCATTTTTCCCCCAGTGACATGTAAGATGGTTTAAGATGTATACTAATCGTCATTATCACTGGTCTTTTTCCTTATATTAAACTACTGATACATTGAAACATTGGGTCGCGATCTACTAGTTACATTTGATGCTTCGTGGCAGTATCTTCAGAATTTCAAACAATGTATAGCACAAAGGGTATTATAGTAAAGTTTCCAGTATTCACCCAAGTACTCATGCGCATCTAATGGCATAAAACATTGACCACCACCAACAGGCACACAACTTATGTTTCACTAGCATCCCAATTTCTCAATTGACTTCAGATTTATTTGTCTTTCCTATGGTGGATTCCCAATGTATTCATTTATTTTGTCCAGAGGGGAACCCCCACCTATGGGACCACATGAGAAATTAATTACCCCTTCTCTGAGCAAGGGAAGTTGAGCCTCACGGGCGTCAGATGTAAGATTTTAATTTAGATGGACAGAGGTCTTCTTCGTACAATAAAAGTAGCAGGGGACAAATTTTATAAGTGCTCATTTTAAAATTAGTAAAATCAAAATAAAACAAAATAATTTTCAACGCTGAAATAACCAAGAACGTCATCTAGCATTCTCCTAGTCCCAGGGAACTGACTTTCTACTTTCATTCAAGACAGTGCAGCATACACAACGCCATAACCCTAAACAAAAATGCTAGATATGAATGCAGAGCTTGTTTCAGGTACATCATCCCCGTTTACTACAAAGCTTAATTCAGTTAATTGAACAGAGTACTTAAGTTTTGTAAATACCTTAATACCGTATTTGATTTCCTTAGATAAATAAATCTCATCGTGTTTTCCCAATGGATGTCGAATACAAGGAGATATTTCTTTTTTCCACTAGAATACGCGTTTTTTTATTGTCTTTTTATGCTTTATATAGGATAGCTTTTTCTCCCCTTCCCGACTGTTTCTTTTACACGCTTAGAGATAGAAACTAATAACGAAGAACCAAGAATTGCCTTCAATTTTCCACCCAAAACATGTAATCTAAATTACACAAAATATATAATACTCTTTTCAGTATCATATCCTAAAGGTTGACTACAAACATCAAAGGGAGAAAAGGTATGAAATGAGAAATAATCAAGTTTTGAAACTTCCTAGTAAGAAATCAGAACCATTTCAATCTTTTTCCTTTGATTCATTCCACTATGAAGATAGGCCCAATACCCATTTTGGCAAAAGAATCGCACCGATGACAATGTTACTTGCTGGATCTTGAATAAAGGAATATTGAACAAACGCTGTCAAGCTTTTTAAAATGCCGTTTTGAGCCCATATCACTGAAGAAATATGACAAGAATATATGGATAAGATTGTTCTAAAACGCCATACGACCAGCCAGCCTGCTTTCAAGTATCCTCTTATCTATGGCTGCATCAATGGAGCTCATCTGAAAGATAAAATGATAATAATGATCAGTAAGTAAGCATAGACCACAAATTACAACAATAAACCGAATATTTTAGAGCATCGTCCTAGGCAAGAGATCCAAACTCTGCGAAAGAAGCTGACCTGGGCCAAGTCTGAATTCACTTGTTCCATAAAATAAATTGTAATGATGCTACGAATGGGCAAAAATCTGTTGGGTAAGACCATTTTCCACCCAAAGCCCCAAACTTAAAAATCAAGCAGGGGGATACAGAATAATATTGGCAAAACCAAACCCGATAAAAAGCATGTATACATACTCTTTTATGGTGTACAAATGCTGGGATGAAAGATCACGAAGTTGGTTGTTTGCAGCAAGCTTCACAATTATGTTGTGGTAATTATAATTAACTACCAAAAGAAATTAATACCACACCTATTTGAATCTTTAGATGCCCATAAAATAAGGAGGCATAGCTTGCAGCCATATAGGCCGTTCAAAATAAAACAGCATGCATTACCCATTTAGGTTGGAGAGAAGAGGGGGGGTTCAAAAGGATCATATTTTCTATCCATTTATTTTATTTTTGAAAAGAATTATAAATTTATACAGAATGTACCTCTTTAAATAGGAAACAATGTGTAAACAACTGAATCTGAAAACAGGAAGCATAAAGCCTACTCATCTGGTTAGATGTGAAAGCAACTCCATTTATTACAGAGGTAGTATGACTTACCTGGCTACTTTCATCATGCACCTGATATTTTGGCAAAGACATTCTTCTTTCCTCCTACAGTAACCAAGCATCATAACATTACAAACCAAGAAACAATAGTAGTCAAATGGGTTGGAACATTACAGATTTTCTCAAGAGTATAACTCACCATGGACATTGCCTCATCATCCCAAACTAAGTAGACTTCGTTGGTGGCAGGCTGAGATGCAGGAGCTTTGTTTGCAATTACTGGGGGAGGCCCGATTGAAGGACCACCAGTATTTGGGCCAGAAGCATAAGAATGTGAGTTACTAGCTACTCCACCTTATAAGAAATCAGGGGGAAGAGGGAAATGAAAATCACTTGGATCACAAAAGGGCATAGAGTTAATCTAATAATGAGAGTAAATTTCAGTGCTGAGTTTATCAATTTTATCAAAAATACTCGTGCAGTTTTGAATCATGAAATCAGTCATAATTGCTCAAGGAGTTAAAATATAATATTTACCTGGAACCCCTATAGCCTGATAACTACTTGTTACTGAAGGGTTGGCAGTCAAATGTGCATCAACAGGGACATTTGTAGGCAGCACTGGAGTAACTGATGGAACACTCGAGGACAGAGGTGCAGTAGAAATTGTCGAAGTTTGTGTTATAGTATGGTTATTTCCAACAACAGGAAATAAAGGTTGTGAAACTGGGATGGGTGCAGGTGTAGGCAATCCAGGAGGAGTAATTTGAGATTGAAGTGCAGGAGAAGCAGTCGCTGGCAGTGGAGGCCTCATGTTCTGCACAGGAAATAATGGCTGCTGAGTGTATGGAGCAGGAGGAGGAACTGAAACAGTTGGAGGCTGTGGAAACCAAGGCTGAGGTCGAGGTGGAACCACCCAAGCATTTGGAGGCATGGGTACAGCTGGATTATAACTACAGCAGAGAGGTAAGCATATGAGCGGGAATTTGTACCATTCATAAATTTAATTTTAAATGAGTGAAAATATGTAAGAATACCACTTTCACCGTATGCAAAAAATGAATACAAATATAAGCATAAAAAAGATCAATAAAATAATAACATACACTGATGGAATTGTGGGCAAGGTTGCTCGAGGGGGGTATCCTGCTCCCAAAGGAGGTGGCACCATTCCACCTACAAGCTGAGTTGATGGAATATCCACCTTGGCTGCCTTTGATGGAACATCATCCTCTGCATTAAATAATACAAAATTGTGAGAATCCTTTCATGCTCAACATGATTTTTTTCCATCACTAACATTATTTGTACAAAGCTTGTAGCTTAAGTCCTGCAAAAACACTATCAGAAACAGAAGGATACAGAACACAACAGTCACCACACATTCAACAAAATAATATGCTGTTAAGACTGGCAAATACCCCACCCACACCCCAGTTTGTAGAACCAAGTTGTATCGTGTACAAACTATAAATGAAATAACAAAACCAAAATTATATTTTATGCTCAGGACAGACGCCCTCAGATCACAAGATTACCTTCTTCACCATAATGAGCAGCCAAGATATCCGGTGGAATCCCTTGCATTCCATATATTTCAATATCCGTACTCTCTCTTCCAGGTTTTGCATTAGGCACCCTGACAAAAAAAGAGAACAAAGGAAAATCTCAACAAAAATAGACAGAACAGAAATTTCTTGTGGAAACACACAATACTTAGCAATACAATCAGCAAATTCACTTGACCAACATTCCACCTTCTTTAGCAATAGATCATTAGCATTCAGGTGAGAAACAAAACCACACTGCCCCATTCTTTTAAGGTAACCAAAGCCATAACATTCGCCAAATTTCCAGCATCATAATTATGATATGTTAATGGTAACAAGGCAACTCTTCAAAGAAACAGATTACACAAACTCTTATCGTTCGTTTAACACAATTAACCCTAACATACAAAAAGAAATGGTAAAGAGAAAAGCCAAAATGAAGAAAAAGAGGGAATTAGGGTTATACTTGGTGACGGATTCCTTGTGGACCTGGAGGACGTGGATGGCCATGCCGCCGGCGGTGGAGAGCTTCTTGTGGCAGACATGGCACTTGAAGTGCTTGGCCTTCTGATGCTGCACCAAGATCTTCTCGTCGTCGAATTCGCGATCGCAGTAGTAACACCACACCTTCGAGGAAACCCTCTTCTTCTTCTTCCCCATGGCGGCGACTCAGGTTCCGATCCCTCGAGAATTGGGTTTGGTTGGTTGGCTGAGGCCTGTGCCTGCAATGGCGGAGGAAGAGGAAGAAGAAGCTAGGGCACAGATTCAGAAGCGAAAAAGATTCAATTGCGGCCCAATTGAAAGGAAGGGAAATAGTATTTATTATTCGTGATGGGATTATATCAACGGCTCACGTAACGAACAGTACAAATCGATGGCTACCTTAGGCCCAAGGAGAAGGTGGTCCAAAAGTAATGTTGTCACGTCCACTTGTGTTTCGTAGGTTACTACTTATTAAGACTACTTTGGCTAGCTTCTTTACATTTTTTTTCTTCCCAGTAACGGGCTAAAGCCCAACAACCGGAAAATAAATATATTTTACCTATGATATAAACTTTTATCTTTTTTTAGATCATAAACTTATATTTTATTTTTTATTCATAATCCTTTCATGATTCATAGTCATAAATTTTTTTGCATTGTACCAAACACCTCCCTTAGTACAACACAAGTGTAGGACTTGTTTGGGCCAAAATTCCTTTTCTGGACACAACTGTTTGACTTGTGTGGTCCAAAATCCTTTTTTGGATACAACGTTTTGCTCTGCACCTTGTTTAATTAAGATTGTATGCTTGTTCCTCTATGATTCAACAATTCCACGACCTAAGATAAATTCTTTTTCATCGTTTGATACATGTTATTGAATGGTGATCGAAATTATTTAAAATAATCGACGTTTAACAAAGATTAAGATCAATCGTAAAAGATTCTTAAACAGATGGAAATCAAAAGAAATTATATTTATATGGAATGAAAAACATATACTTTTTAACAAAGATTAAGATCAAGCATAAAAGATCCTTAACAGATGAAAATCAAAAGAAATTATTTTTATATGGAATGAAAAACATATACTTTTTATGAAATATTACATATACTTAACCCTTAAATAAGCAAAGACATCAACATCGTGAATATGAAAAAAAAAATAAATAATAAAATGCATGTCAATCATCGCCAGCTCGAGTTGAGCCACAAATATTATGAAATTTTCATTTCATTTTCACCTAACAAGTTTTCCAAAATGTTACATTACATTCACACGTTTCCTTCTTCCCAAATATTATGATGAAAGCAAAACTATGGACATAGCAGTCATGAAATTCAACATAAACTCATCTCGGCACTCTCTCAGTGACAAGGATGTCTAGATTGGGAACCACCAAGAATAGACCACTCCAAGAATGATGCTTCACAAAATTAAATAGATAAATAAAACAATAAAAAATGGACCACTCCCATGTCATATCATAGCCCTGCATGATCAATTAAAGCCTCCATCCTTAGTCTCTATCACTCATCAAAGTGCCAGTGATATAAGTGTTCCGCAAACTTCTTAGCATTATCATATATCACATTCCTAACAAGATGCTGCCAAGTCGTAAGAGCAGTGGAGCTCTTCTTTTTCTTGGTGTTTCTATTCGATTCAGTGTTATTGGCCCACAAGAAAAACTTACAGTTCTAAGCATGATTTTAAACCACCATGCTAAGATTCTGCTTTGAAGCCATTTGTTTTCTTTATGGTGGATTGATTTACAAGAGACAGAATGTGTTTTGCAATCTCAGCTGAGGCATTGAGATTTGCAGCTTTCAGAGCCCTCTCAGACATTTCTTCCATCTTATGCTTGTCCCCTGTCACGAATTTCAATGTCGAAATCAAGAAGGAAGGAAGGAGAATAAAAGAAAAAGAGACAAATATTGCTTCTTGCAGGTACATTTAACTCAAACAGGTAAGCTCTGAATTTTAGAATTATATAAAGAATATGGTGAATTCATACAAACAACAAAGCAGTCAAGGAGTTAACCAGTGATATATTAATGAGAAAAATTATAATTTCTAAATTAAGGATGTACTAGAGTGAGTAGTTATATTTCAAACTTATTACTATTGGTGTTGTTTAGACATTAGTCCAAGTCTCGAGGAATAATCTTAAAATCCAGCTTGTTCAAAAAGGTTCAACACTGAACAAATAACAGGCCATTATTGAAGATACCACCACCAAATACTACCAGTCCAACCTTTAATTGTCTTCTATTTGTGGTCCAAACTTGAGATCTTCTATATCACTAATCTTAATGCATCTCTACCTTTCTGATATCCCATTAACATGATTTTGTGACATAAGTGACATGACAGAGAGTAATTTTGTGATCTTGGTTCTTTTATCAAAGCATATGGCATGCTTCATGAAAAACTATGGAATGATTTCCAAACCTGAAATTTTAACAGACATGGAAGGTAAAGACTACATACTGAAAATCTTTTCAATTGCAATGGCTAGTGTACTTGAGTCTAGCTCATCTTCAGTTATAACAGTCACACCAGCTAAGTCTGCCATCAAGGAAGCATTTCTGAACTGATTCCCCTCAGAGAAATTTGGCGAGGGTATCTACAAACAATTATTGAAAAAAAGGTCACAATTTTCCTTTGTATGAGCCGCAGTTTCAGCTTAAAAGGAAAGGTGTAAAGTGATTCTTGAAAAATAGGGAAAGCATGGAAATCATATGCAGTGATGCATCATCACATGGATTGTAAAAAGATGACTCAAACCCACAAAAAATACAGAATACAGCAATTTGTTACTATATTATTACACTAGTTGAGAGGATAATATTTTATATGGCTGTTAGGATCCAATTGGAAGGGAAAAAAAGGACGTTGAACTTAATTTGGCTGAATTTCGCACTCAAGTTTTTAAATAAATGACTAATATTTTATAATTCAAAGCTGAAATGAAAAACAGAAGGAATGAAATGAAGGGCTAAACACAATATTTAACTACCAGAATAGATGGTTTCCCAGTTGCCAATATTTCATAGCAAGTCATTGCCCCAGCTCTAGAAACAATCAAGTCTGCCGCTGCATAGGCCAAATCTATACAATGCATGAACCTTTGGAGAAAAAAAAAAAAAAAAGGGACCCATCAGTTAACCTTTTGCAACCAAATAGATCCATCTGTCACATGATCAAACAATGGTATTGTGCTCTATCAGAAATCAAATTATCCAGAAACTATTCAATCGCTCAACACCCATTAAAATATGGACAACTAACATCGTTATTATTGAAATTTTATCACACAGATGATCTAGGTGAAACTCTAATTCTAATTCTGATTGGATAACACTTGACTTACGGTGTCAAATACAAGCGTGGATGAGTTTTAACAAGACTATCCATTTCATCAGAGGCTCCAACCCCAGTTTGCCATATAACATGCAAGGCACTATCCTGTCTCAGCATTTCAAAGTACAAATTCAGCATCGCAATGTTAACAGCATTCGCGCCAAAAGACCCAGCAAGCACCAACAAAACCTTGCCTTCACAATCCGAACCCGGAAAAAAGTGCGTCATCGCGTCCTCCTTCGAAGCAAGGTTCCTAAGCGACATCCTCACGGGGTTCCCACACACGAAGCACTTGTTCCTCGGGAAGCTATCGAGCGTGGAGTTGAAAGCAACGAAGATAGCATCAGCCAGGAAAGCGAGAAGCGTGTTGCCGAAGCCGGGGACGGAGTTGGGTTCGTGGATGACGACGGTGGCGCCGCCGAGCTTCGCGGCGAGGCACGCGGGGAAGGAGACGTAGAAGCATTTCTGAACTGATTCCCCTCAGAGAAATTTGGCGAGGGTATCTACAAACAATTATTGAAAAAAAGGTCACAATTTTCCTTTGTATGAGCCGCAGTTTCAGCTTAAAAGGAAAGGTGTAAAGTGATTCTTGAAAAATAGGGAAAGCATGGAAATCATATGCAGTGATGCATCATCACATGGATTGTAAAAAGATGACTCAAACCCACAAAAAATACAGAATACAGCAATTTGTTACTATATTATTACACTAGTTGAGAGGATAATATTTTATATGGCTGTTAGGATCCAATTGGAAGGGAAAAAAAGGACGTTGAACTTAATTTGGCTGAATTTCGCACTCAAGTTTTTAAATAAATGACTAATATTTTATAATTCAAAGCTGAAATGAAAAACAGAAGGAATGAAATGAAGGGCTAAACACAATATTTAACTACCAGAATAGATGGTTTCCCAGTTGCCAATATTTCATAGCAAGTCATTGCCCCAGCTCTAGAAACAATCAAGTCTGCCGCTGCATAGGCCAAATCTATACAATGCATGAACCTTTGGAGAAAAAAAAAAAAAAAAGGGACCCATCAGTTAACCTTTTGCAACCAAATAGATCCATCTGTCACATGATCAAACAATGGTATTGTGCTCTATCAGAAATCAAATTATCCAGAAACTATTCAATCGCTCAACACCCATTAAAATATGGACAACTAACATCGTTATTATTGAAATTTTATCACACAGATGATCTAGGTGAAACTCTAATTCTAATTCTGATTGGATAACACTTGACTTACGGTGTCAAATACAAGCGTGGATGAGTTTTAACAAGACTATCCATTTCATCAGAGGCTCCAACCCCAGTTTGCCATATAACATGCAAGGCACTATCCTGTCTCAGCATTTCAAAGTACAAATTCAGCATCGCAATGTTAACAGCATTCGCGCCAAAAGACCCAGCAAGCACCAACAAAACCTTGCCTTCACAATCCGAACCCGGAAAAAAGTGCGTCATCGCGTCCTCCTTCGAAGCAAGGTTCCTAAGCGACATCCTCACGGGGTTCCCACACACGAAGCACTTGTTCCTCGGGAAGCTATCGAGCGTGGAGTTGAAAGCAACGAAGATAGCATCAGCCAGGAAAGCGAGAAGCGTGTTGCCGAAGCCGGGGACGGAGTTGGGTTCGTGGATGACGACGGTGGCGCCGCCGAGCTTCGCGGCGAGGCACGCGGGGAAGGAGACGTAGCCGCCGGTGCCGACGACGACGTGGGGTTGGAAGTCCCGGAGGTGGCGGAGGCACTGGAGGAGAGAGTTCGAGAAACGGAGGGGGAAGAGGAAGGGGTTGTCGTTGGGTGGTGGGCCGGCGACGGTGGCGAAGTGGTGGCCGGCGGCGGAGATTGCGGCGCTCTCGACGCTGTCGGGGGTGGCGAGGAAGAGAAAGCGGGAGGCGGGGGTGGCGGCCTTGAGGTCGTCGGCGATGGCGAGGGCCGGGTAGATGTTGCTGCCGGTGCCGCCGCCGGCGAAGGCGACGCGGAGAGGGTGGTTGGAGTGGCATGAGATGATGGAGAGTCTTCTTGTGGGGGAGGGTGCGGGAAGAGAGAAGAATAAGGTGGTCGCCATTGTTGTTGTTTATGTTTAGTAACACAACATGACGATGGCACCACCTTTGTTACGTATGGTTTCTGGAAGTTCTAAACTAACTTCCTTCTTGTTTCTGTCTCGCCACAAAACCAGGTTCTTACTAAAGACAATGTCCACTTTTGTCACTTTCGTCATTTCTTAGACTCGTTGACTTTTTAATCATCTTAGATCAAATTAAAACGTGAAATGTTGTTTCTCATACAAAAATTATACGATTAACATATTCAAAGAGAATAGACCGAGACCTAATAAATACTAAATAGTCATAGTCTCATACATAAAATCCTGTATTAATAATATAACTCAATTAGAATAGATTTCGGGTTGAAAAATATTAAGAGAAATGCGTGTAATATATAATGCAAAGATATAGACACCAAAATTATTATAAAAAAAATTAGTTTGCTTTTATACTCATATCATTGTCAATTGAAAATTAGAATAGTATTACAGGTTTATAATTGCTTTATTTTTAAATTATATTAATTAATTAATTAATGTCCGAGCGTGTTGCACGGGTTGGGATGCTTGTAATATGAGAATAAATTAAGTGAAATCAAATTATCATTTAATAAATTTTAAAGGGAGAAGGTTTAAACTTATTATCCTTTTTTTGGCAGTAACTTATTATCCTAACATTGTTCTTGTTGCTTTTAAAAAAAAACACATTGTTTTTATTAGGACTTGCTTTAATTTTATTTTTTTATCCATAAGATTTACTTTAATTAAATAAGAATATAACATAAAGAATAATATATATATATATATAGTTAATTTATATACATTTTAAAATATTTTAATATAAACAGGTCTTAATTAATTATTAACACAAAGTTGCAACATGAAAATTCAGGGTTTGCAAAGTGAACGTAAAAATTATGTAATAAAGTCCAAGCAAGATTATAGGTAAGTTTATAGTGCAAAAGTTATTCAGGGTTGTTTGCAACTTATGAATCATCATACTAGTTTCGTTGGATATAAATCTGACAACAACCATGTGTATGAAATGCTAATGATAAATTATGTATCCAAAAAAAATGCTCATGATAAATTGATGTGTCAGAAAATTTAAGTTTGGGACATATCTTAATAAATTTACCCAAACCACCACGTGCACATATGTTAATTATTTGTTTTAGCAGGCTCAGATTATGCTCAAAACAGGACAATAACCTGAAGAGTAAAGACAATACAAATACTTAAACTTTCATTAATCTGATGTCTCTGTTAATTTGAGACAAAATGAATGAAAATCATTTAATACTTCATTTCATTAATTCAAATTGTCTGTTAGATAATCATAAAAACATTTTATACGTTAATTTGAATTAATGAAACAAAATATCAAATAGTTTTCAAATTTTTTTAAAATTTACAAACTTAATGCATTAAGAACTTTAAATTCAACTATTGAATCATTGAAATTTGATGTAAAACATAAATTATTGAACGAAATAAGTTTAGGTAGATTTATTCCTAAAAAAGATGGATCCTTTCTCATATATATATATATACACACACATTATATGCATGGAGACTCGTGCATCTGATCTATAAGCCTAAAGAAGTGTATGGTTCAATATCTACTTTAGCAAATAACTTCAAAATATATTACAGACCAAGACTGACATTAAAATATATGGAGACCCGTATCGAGGACGTAATATGAGCATACTCAGGGACACAAGCAGCTGATCAATGAATAAGTGAGACTAAGATTAAGATGTTGAATAGATCGCTTTGTGCCACCAATTGACAATTTGTCCAGTGTTGTTTAGATCTGTTCTCAATGGTGAAGTCACTTAATTTTGACAATACAAACCCGTTATTTCTTCTATTCTGACTGATTTGCTATTTCAGCCTCTTTGTTTGGCTACCCAGTTTCATTACGAACCAAAAGATTTATAAGAATTTCAATCATGTATATATTGAACTAACTCAAGTTCAGGGAAAATAAAAACAAACATATCTAAGGAAGATCCTTGCAGTTTAGAGGCTTGTCATTTTCTGAATTCTATAATTATAAGGCATATAAACAATAACAGATTCTTTGTCCTGGAAAAAATTAGTTAGAAGATAAAATAAAGGATAAACAATACAAGGAAGCAGAGGAGTGATCAAACACGCAAGCCACGCATCAAATAGAGTAATAGACTCGATGCCTTTGAACTGTTAAAAAATATTTCAGGAACTTCTAGATTTATGATGACTGAACTACCTGCCAAAAAATGGGCACTACATCCATGACATCAGGCACAAGAACCATGAAATAAGGTAATACAGGTGTACATTAAATAGTCATCTCTTTCTTAAAATAAAGCACTACGTATTTACTAGACAAATGGCTTTTAGTTCACATAATTTATGTTTCTAGAAGTTTGTCTTCATTTCAAAAATAAGATTAGACCGTTTCCCAACAAAACTTTTCAGTTTTCCTTCCATATTCAAGCAAGCACACATTAGAAACGATCAACCATGCTATGTGCTGTTTTCTGCCAGAAACTTGGGACAGATTCCATTTTCTTCTGACATGAGCATGCAGTATATACACTCAAGGCAGGACATTTGTGAACCATATTGAGTCTTAACAAACTAATTAAGCCAGTAACAAGACTCATCAATCAATTTAGCCAGCATGTAGCTTAAAATTTCCCGTTGACTAATTGTAACAAAACTCAGTCTTGGTGAAAGAAACCTTTTGTAAAAAGCATGAATTAGGATAAAATTTACCAAACCTGGTGAGAGTTGACACTAACAAAAATGTGAACTTTTAACTAAAAACATTCTCACGAACTCCTCTAATCTGTACAAACTATAAATTTATCAAACTATTGAAGGTGTCTTGAACTAATGAACTCCCTTTCAGAAATGATTCCTATACACTATGCCACTCACCGATTTCTGATCAAATAGCAAAATGTTTAGGAAATCCAACGATGAGTAGTAAGATAGCTTCTCTATCCTATAAATTAACTTTGAAATTTAAGTAAGCTTAAACTTAAATTTTAATATGATATCAAAATCTATCATAATAGATTTAATAGTTATTGGGTTTATGTTATTGACCCTATTGATCCTACAAATCTAACACTCAAGATATCCAATCTCAATGTGAGAAAAGTGTGTTGAAAATCTATTGACTAGTAATATCATCAAAACAATATACGTAAGCGAGAAACAATTCTCACTTTCTCAAAAGCATCACAAGTTTCGATATATGACTGTTAAAACTGGATACTAATTGACACAGACTTATTCTGAACACAAGTACACAGATTCTAGAAGACAAGTACTATTACAGGATAATATTGCGACAGTAAATGTCAAAAAGTACTAAACTAAAATTCTGTCAACAGATACCTTAACACAGATATTCAAAACTGTTAAACCCTATGTTGTACAAGATAAAATGTAGAGAGAATACTGACAGCCATGATGGAAAGAACCCATTGGTAACGAGACTGAGCATTCAAGCCAATGACAGTGCGAGATGGGTAGCGGATTATAGTGTAGAGAAGCCAAACGTTATAAATTCCCAACACAAACAAACCCAAAGGCACCATCACGTAGTCCAATTCCTGTACTTGCATGCTGCCTCTTCAATCTTCAAATTTTACCTTTCACCATTCACTACCTCAAACACCAACACTCCCTACTCCAAAATTATAATCTTATTGAAATTCAAATTTGTTACCCTTTCCTTTCACTCATGCCTACCTTTGCCTTTTACACCCCACCTTTCCACTCACAAAACCTTGTTTTTTTCCTCCAAAACAAGTAAAGATAAAGAGGCTCCCCCTTGCTCTTTCAACTAGTAAAGTCTGCAAAGAACTAAAATTAAATCCATCTTTTCTGACTGGGAAACAAAAGTGGGAAACATAAATTATTACCAACACTAATTGTGTAATCAATTCTTTCTCAAACCCCACAAAAAAAAAGTGTTATTTCCCTTTCCACCTCTCTCCACGTTGCCCAATTATGATACTATTGTGACTAAATTTGGCTAAAAAAAAATAAAAGTGAAGTTTTGAGCCTGAGTTGAGACGCAATTTCATGTGGTAGTTCTCTTCATACATGTCAGGTCCAATTCGAGAAATTCTTATATAGGCCACTAGCTTCGAATCTCGTGTCATTTTGTTCACACGAACCCCTTCAGTTTGTTGCTTTTGTTATCACTCTTTGGAAACGGTTGAAAACTGTTTCTCTTTGTGCTTTTTACGCAAAAGGCAATCTTCAAAGGTGAAGTTCTCAAAGGATCACTTCAATATCCAAAATAAGGCGTACATCGAGAGAATGCTGTTGATATCGTTTAATATTAGTGGTAGTGGGTATCTGCGCGATCAGAAACATTTCCTGAATTCTTGAAAAGTGAAGCTACTACTCATTCTTCCCTCGTAAACTACAAATTGGTGGTGAATTTTCGTTTATTAGTAAGAATTATAATGGCAGAAGCAGCAGCAAAGCTAATCTAGGACTTGTATATACTATCCCAACGTTTCATCACTAGTCTGATTCTAGTGGTTCAAATTCGTGGTGAAAATTGAGATTTAAGTAAGCCCTTTTTTATCAAGAGTTCACGAAGAAAGAGCGTCCAATGAGGACAATCCTAGCCAACTTTCAACAAGCTAACCTCTTAAAGGAGATGATGCATTTGAATTACCTCTTAAGATTAGCAGCAGAACATCTACCAAAAATACAAGATAAGCAGAAGAGGGAAATTTTTTTTTGGTAAAGTGAATTACAGAATGCCACATTTATTGAGAATTTCACATAGCCTTTGAATACTACTAGGTTACTAATGAGATTTGCCCAATTGACATTCTACATGGGCATACTTGAAACCTATACGGATAAATTACTATTCTGTAAGTATCAACCTTCACTTTCTGCACCATATTTTTTCCCTACTTCACTAAACATTGACAGAGCAACAACTAGCAATCCTTTTCATTGCTCAAAATCAATCTCCTACAAGGCTACAACAAAATAACCTCTAACCAGGATAAGCTAAAGAAATCCTCAACAGGATGTTAGTTAAGGTATGTGACTGGCAAGACTAGTGTCAACATTTTACATATTACCAATCAATGTGAATGTTCAAAGAGGGCAGAAGATGGAAAACAAAACAATTGCACATGTTTAGCATGCGCGCGCGCACACATATATATAGACAAAGAGGAAGAATCCGTTTACTCCATGAGTAAGTCTATTTTAAACCCTAAACTTAGACTTATTCTGTTTAATAACTTATGTTCTATATCAAATTTTAATGATCCAACTGTTGAATTTAAAATTCTTCATACATAGATCAAGTTTGCAAATTTTTAAAAAATTTTAAAATCATTTAATACTTCATTTCATTAATTCAAATTGTCTGTTAGATAATCATAAAAACATTTTATACGTTAATTTGAATTAATGAAACAAAATATCAAATAGTTTTCAAATTTTTTTAAAATTTACAAACTTAATGCATTAAGAACTTTAAATTCAACTGTTGTTGTTTGCCATCTTGACTTGATCCATTTCATAACAAATGTGACTGTCAACCCCTCAAAAGTGTGAAAGAGAATAAAAGTACCTCCATAATGCTAATCAAAAAGATAATAAGCTGAATCACGTCATTTCTAATTTCTATTAAATATGTAATTAAATACAATTAATTTTTATTTATATGAAAACTTAAATGCATATCATGATTGATTGGGATGATAGAGACTTAGTAGTCCTAAATTGTGTAATAATTTTTGGTAGAGTAATATGTATAGTATATATGGTTGGTGTTGCTTAGGTCCAGTGTATTGATAACGATAATTAGTAGTGGGTGTAGGAGTTGTAGCAATGGGCAGTGATGATGGATAGTGGATATGTTGAGGCAAAGCCACATTGTGCTGCTGAAATTGATAAAAAGGTACTTGAAAGTTGGGGCAATTGATTTTGTGGGGTGGCATTCTTTCATGCTGCATTGTACACTTTGTGGTATATATTAGTGGGCTAGACCACATTTGGGTCGGTTACATTGGATTGTAAACTGATGTTTAACCTTGTACGGTTGTTGTATAGGTCCAACAAGCATCACATAAATTGGGTACTGCTTCTGAGTTCTGACCATGGTCGGGCATTAACTGGGTACCTGCAGGGTGGTGGATGGATGAACACAAAGCAAAAGATCGGTGGACACCACTATTTAACGCCTATATTTTCTGTATGAAAATATAATTGTGTCAATCATGCACTGATGACATGAAATGTGATGAAAATTGGAAAGTTACACTAGCATTTATTATTATTATTATTTAGTTACAGAAGCAATTGCAATTGAAAAGACTTTAAGTATGTAACCTTCATCTTCAAAATGTCAGTTAAAATCTTCATGTTTGGGAATCATTCCATAAATATTCATGAAACATGCCATATGCTTGGACTTGGATAAAAGAACATAAATCACCAAATTAATGTCTGTCATGTCACTTGTGTCAAAAGTCCTGTTAATCGGAAATCAGAAAGATAAAGACTAGTAATACAGAGGATCTTAAGTTTGGGGTACAAATAGAAGACAATTGAAGGTTGAACTGGTGGTAATTGGAGTTTGGTGGTATCTTCAATAGTGACATGTTATATTAAGATTATCCCTTGAGACTCATATCCACACAACAATACCAATAGTTATAATCTTGTCAAACTTATGCGTGGAAAAATGTTGTTCTATAACTATAAATAAAATGTTATCACAGACATGGGACAGTATTTCACTGATTGTTCCTGAACTTTCAATTAACGATACCCTTATTTCTTAATTGTAGACTTATCACACTGCAGTACCTGGGATACGGGGATCACATAAATTTCAGGTTTGATTTTTATTTATGTTTAGATAATGTTTAATCAACGATCACATCCTATGAATACATATTTGTATGTGATGAAATATATCCACGAAAAAAGTTAAATAGATAACTGGCTACCGACCAGAACTGAAACTTTGAAGTTAAGGAAAGGGTTAAAGAGTAATTTATAGAGAATTTTTTGAATCCAGACATCTTTCACCGTTTCTACCAGAAAAGTAAAACTAAAACCCATCTTGAGACATTCCTTGTCTCTTGCTCCAAATTTTAGTAACTTAAAAAAGCTGCAGTAGTAATTCCTTTATTTTTGGTCGTCCTTTTTTCCTCCTCTTTCAAGTTCAAGTTTCAAGTTTCAATCTTTCATTCTTGTCAAAAAAAAAAAAGTTTCAATCTTTCGTACATTATTTATTCCTCAAACTTGTACAGTTTTATCCTCGTTTGCTTCAGATTAAAGGTCTCATTGAGATCCGCATCATAGTTTTCAATATGACTACTCCAGTGCATCATTAATTTTAAAATTATAAATTTTTCCATTACTATAATGTCACTAGTTTTTTTTTTTTTTTTTTACAAGATATAATGTCACTAGTTAACACCTTGACTGCTTGCTGTTGTATGAATTCACCTGTTCTTTATACAATTCTAAAATTCAGCACTTCCCTATTTGAGACAAATGTACCTGCAAGAAGCAGTATTATCTCTCTCTTTTTGGCCTTTTCCTCTTCTTTCTTGATTTGGACATTGAAATGCATGGTAGGACAAGAAGAAGATGGAAGATGTGCTGAGGTTGCAAAACACATTCTCTCTCTTGTAAATAAAATCTATCTACCAAAAAGAAAAGAAATGACTATAAAGTAAAATCTAGCCTAGGCATGGTGGTTGAAATAAATTCATGCTTACAACTGTAAGTTTTTCTTGTGGGCCAATGACATCGAATAGATACACCAAGAAAAAGATGAGTTCCACTGTTCTTACTACATCATATTGTTAGGATTGTGATATAGTGATATATGATAATGCTAGGGAGTTTGTGGAGCTCATCATATATTACTGGCACTTTGATGAGTAAAAGGACAAGGATGCAAACTTTAACTGTTCATGGGAATGGTCTATTTTTTATTGTTTTATTTACTTCATTTAATTTTGTGAAGTTTCATGCTTGCGGTGGCCAATTTTTGGTGGTTCACATGTATACACCCTTGTCACTGAGAAAGTGCCAAGATGAGTTTGTGTCTAATTTCATGACTTCCCATGTCCATAATTTTTGCTCTCATAATATTTGGGAATAAGGAAACGTGTGGTCTCTAGGAAACAAGTTAATTCCACTATTGTTAATGTACCGTAACATTCAATTCTCCAAGCGTAGAAAAACTTGTGGCTGACATGCGCTTCCATAAAAATATTTCCATCACTTTTTTATCATTAACCAAATGTATTTTTAAAAATACCTAAGAATGTCATTCTTGTCATTATATTTCTGAAAATATTATTCCAAAAATAAACATTAATAACTTGAAACAAACATTCGAGAGAAATGAAAAAAAGAAGGCAACTGGTTCATGAAGAATGGATGTAATCCTTTCCTTTGTCTTTGCAAGAGCTATACAGTGGAATCCATTACACGTGATTTTTTTTTATATCATTTGTGAAGCAATTCATTTTAATTTGCAGACGAGATATAGCAACATGCAACAAAAATCATCATCATAAGATCCAAAATGGGCATAGTTGAGGACAAGCATTCATTCCAAATATGAACACCCTACTTTGTCACAGACACAACTCCATTAAAAACAAAAAAAATAATAAAACTGCTCTTAGGCAAGGCAAGGCCACTCTTGGCGTATAATATGCAAAGGTCTAAGCCTAATTGAAAAACCTTTAATCAATAACATATAATTGCCGACGCCTCACAGAGATTTAAAGATGAAATGATAATTGACAGCAAAGAATGAAAATTCTCGCTTATATTGGATATGAAGAACTATACACAAATTTAAAACAGTAGGGTTGTGTTGTGTCACTCAGTGTCGAGCTGCAACTTGTTGCTTACATACTGGGCAGAAATTTTTTTGTGCAACCCATTGTTTTATACACTGAAAGTGATAGCTGTGTTCACAATTTAGTCTCCCCAACTCATCACCTGCTTCATACTCCTCCTGAACTCAAAATCAAGATAGTTTAAAAGTTTGTGGTCGTTTTGAAAGAAAAGCAATATTGTATGAAACATTTCAAGACATTTTGTTCAATTTTACAAACTTACTTGACAAATGCTGCACTCTTTATCTGTTTGATGCTTTGATGTATCATCCCAAAATTGAAGCCTAGTCTTCCTTATGTTCCGTCCCATCTCATCTTCCTTAAGTCCAGTGTTCACATGACCAATTCTCTCACCAAGCTCTAGCAATTGCTATCAAACACAAACCAGAAGTTTTGACAAACATAAAACAATGTGAACGCTGAATATATTAATAATCATTGCAAAAGAAGATACACAGTTTGGCTTGAGAAAGAAATCACCTCATATGACATGTTATCAACATCAAGTCTCCAGTCTCTGAAATGATCATGTGAATTTAATTGTCCACCCATTAGTAGACTCCCTTGAAGCATCATTATCTTCAAAGTGCAGGCAAAAATCAAGACGTGCAATATTAGCTCGACTGGAATAAAATCTAAGCAAAAGCCATGATTGGATATAACATAATGCTCCTCTATACATGCATTCATTATAAAATTATGGGTCTCGCTAATCAGTGCTCTTAGGACACTAGACACGGGTTAGCTAATCAGTGCTCTTAGGACATTAGACACGGGTTAGCTAATCAGTGCTCTTGGGACACTAGACACGGGTTAAGTAACCGATATGTCAAAATTTTTTTATTGAAATCTATATTAAAGTTACATAGATGAGTATGTCGTACACTAGGCTTTTTATTATTGATTCCTTAAATAGTGACATTAGGGGTTGGCATTTTCCTAATATTATAACTTCCATTAAGAGGCCTTGTTACATGGGTATCCAACCACAAAACACACATGAACCACAAAACCAACTTCAATAAAAATTGTGCCAATCAGGAGTAATAGTTCAAAGTTAGAAATTCCTGTGTAAACATGATGATGTCAGGTGTCTATTCTACACAACTTGCAGAATATACACTAGGAATTTCAACCAATGTTAGGACGACTAAAACTGTTCCCTAAAGAAACACGTCACTCAATCATGCATTTCCAGAATATCTTGTTTAATCTCCCATCATTCAATAAGTGCATTTCACATGATGGCATAATGAAGTATAAAATCCAGTTCATTTTCCTGCTACTACAGAAAGACATCAGTGCGTTTTGATTTGACACGACTTCAGCTTCACAAACCAAAGTTCTATTGCCCATTAGGCTTCTACAATAAGTTTACCATTCACAATCCAGGACACACGGCAATTTTCACAATCTCATGGTACTCGACATAATCATGCAGCCTAACACAACAAATGCAATCAAGATTTTAACTCGCCATATTACATACAGTAAAGTCATTCATTTTTAGCAGCAGAAACAACGAGTTTATTCAATTTACAGTTAAAAACATGACTCACTACATTCATTTCAATGTAAAGCCAAATTTCAGTTTTATTATTTAGTAGCCAGCACATGCATGTCTACGCACAAAGTAAATAATTTGAGTTAATAATTTAAAATTTAAACTGGTTATTTCTATGAACCACATTAAGTCATACTAGACATGCACATGAACTTATAAGGCAAGACAAATATAGAGAAAAGGGTATATTAGAGGCAACCTCAGCGAAACCATCAGAGGAAGGATCTCTAACATGACGATAGTATGTTGCAGTTCCATAAGAGTCAGAGGCAGAACGTGGTGTGAAGATGTCAGAATCAGTGTCCAGAAAAGTGAAGGTTTCTGTGCGCCTTCCCACATACGATGATCGCTGCCAATATTTAATGAATGATGAAGCAATGTTTGTTAGCTCCAAATCATGTCAATTGTCAAGGCATTGTGAAACAAAAATCATGACGAAGCACAACTCAAACCACAACTCAAACCAAAACCCAACTAATCATTCACGTGTATCTAAACCCATAAAAAACGGATCCCTGTCTCCCACTAACGTAACCACTTATCCAATAATCAACAACTACTTCTTGCATCTGTAACTATAGGAAACTAGCTATTAATAACCAAAATAGTTGTTTGTAAAATCAACAAGTATTTATTTTTTAAAAAATATTATTCTCTCTTGTTATCTCCACATTAAAAATGAAATGAAAGAAACATTAATGGATTAATAGGGTGAAAGGATAGTACGACATATTTTCCTAAATTTTAAAATATTTGATGGCTTAATTTGTACTAAAAAAACTTGTTTTAATATTGAAGTAATAACAAGTATAGATAAGATGATCAGAGATCACATGCACCGGAAAACAAAAACAAAAGGATAGCCCTACATGAAAACGATCAAAGATTTCAGGCCCATACATAAAAGACATTATTTTTAAACTGTCTTCTTATATTTTATGGGATTTTTTAAAAAAAAATTAGTCCCCATGTATCCTTAAACATAAGAAAAGTGGCATGGGACTTCGGATAAAAATCAAAAGGAAAAAACACTTCAATGTTCACCAATGCAAAAACCAATGCTAATTTTTTTTACTAACTTGCTATTATTTGATTGATAAACAGAACATCAGAAACTACCCATCAAGAAAGGAAGGAGAAACGAGAACGGCATTCTTAATATTTGGTGGGGTTAAAAACGGAAAATTTATTGATGCAGGTTGCCCAAAGAAAGCAAGCCATGTTCTGGGTAGGAAAAACGAAAAGGCCAAACTTTTCAACAGATTTAGGCACCAAATGCTTCAACAAAAAAACAGATGAAAGATTGCAGGAATGAGAATACCTCCCTGTGAGAAATCTTGTCCACATCAATTTTCCCTCTTGCAGACACATTCTTCCTTGCCACAACACAATCAACAGAGGCAGCATCTGCTGAGAACCCAATTCCAGGGCCACACCAAACATCTTGAAAGTCCACACAGCCAGGATTGGAGCCTTCTAGAACCCCACCATGGAAAGTCTTGTTCTTGCTGTTGTTGCTGCTTCTCTTGTGCTTCTTTTTTCTGGTTTTCTTCCCCTGCCAGTCGGCGGAGGAGCGAATCACCGCCGGAACCGACACCTGCTGCGCCGCCCCAGCCGTGCACCCCAACCCTCTGAGGGTTGCTGAAGAAAAGTTACTTTTTTTCCTGCTCGGGGCACCACCATTGATGGTGGGTGTGTCATTGTTGTTGTTGGAGAAGGTGGAGAGGAGCAGGGAGGATATGGTGGACTTGGCCCTAGTGGATTGGATTTGAGGGTTCGGATCTGTTCCTGAAATGGGGCTATGGAATTGGTTTCTGGGTCTTCTCCATTTGATGTGCTCTGCTACAGTTGTAGTGTTGTTTGTCACAACAGGCATGGCTCTAAGAGAGAGAGAAGGAAAAAAAGAACAGGACTTGAGAGATTTCGAAAAGAATGTGTTTTGATTGATTATTTATTAGTTTGAAATAATAAATTTTAATTTGTGGGGTGCCCTTTTCTTCTGGGGTTGTTAGGTGGCCCTGCCTTGTCTTGCTGCAATTGTGGGCATATGCTATTCAATTACTAGGCCACACACTGGAATCTGTGACTTGCTTTTATCTCTTTTTGTGCTTTTCAAGCCAAATAGATGCTACTTATCAAAACAAAAGTTCAAAAACCCTTTCCTCTCTTTGGACTCTAGTGCTGTGCTTTGGAGCCTCAATGAGAAATTGGCATCAGATTATTAATATAGTTTACTTTAATCAAATGTGAAATATCTTTCATACTACAGAAAGTCAGACTAGTGTACAGTGCTGACACAAAAGTTAATTTCTTTTTAAAATAAATAAATTGTGAATTTCAAGAATTACTTCGGCCTAATATATCATTAAAGAGTGGACAGCATTGAAAAGGTTCCTCCTCCCTGCACAATAACGCTGAGTCCAAAAACATAGGTGTATTGGAATTATAGCATGTGTATAATTTACTTATCGCATTAAAAATGTAGTAATGGTGATGAACATGTGAGGAGCCTTAAATTTTGACTCAAGGAATGTCTTCCTTGTAAAGCTTCCTTGCTGGTTTCAATTCTCAAGGTCAAATACATGGCCAGAAACATTGTTTATTAGCACCAAGAAAACTAACAAAAAAATAAGTATCTTTCTTTTCTTTTCTTTTCTTTTTTTGATTGTTGTATCTTCAAATTTTCATTAAAATGAAATTGGTTATTTGTTGCCTTGTTGGCATATCAAGACAACCTCAATGCACCAGCTTAAAAAAATATGCAGAATTGCAAAGTGAAAGCAAATGACTATAGTATATTTGAAGAAATTAATTTCTTGGTGCAACTTAAATACACTATCTATGGTAGATCTCCATTGTTGGTGCAACGTGCAAACAATATGATATTACAGCCACTTTTCTCTTTCATGAGTGTATTAGACTAAATCTGTCTATCCTAAAACAATGACCCATGTTAGATCCAAAAAATGACCCTTGACCCATATGACGATATGTTCTCCTTTGAACGAAATGAATTTGTCACCAAAATTTTAGGTTATACCCATACATCTACGAAAACTCAAAAGCCCGAGAAACTCATGAAATGAAGTGGTGTAAAAATAACCTTGAAATATGCAAGATAATGAGAAAATGGTACTGGAAAGGGCTAATGTACAAAAGCTAGGTGACAAGTTAAAATGATTCTTAATATAAAAAATAAAAAATCACTGTAGACCTGGATTTGGACCACATCTTGGGTTATGGGAAACAAAAGAATCGTTTGGCCTGAGAGGTACAAGAATGAGCAAAATTTGCCCTCAAAGAGTAAATAATGTGATTAATGTTTAACCTCAACTTTCTATTTGCATGTGGTTGATTGGTTAATGTATGCAATAAAAACATCTTTTTACATTAGCCATTAATTGCCTACACATTAAGACTTTTTTACGCCAACTACATCCATCCTTTCGCTTACAGATTACAATAACTTGTTGGTTGTTGCTTACAAATAGATCCTATTCAGCTCTACTTCTTCTAAGCGAATCTTTTCGAATGCAATTTCTATTTTGGATGTATTAAAAAGTATATTGCCTAATAGTTAAGGGCTTAAATATAAAATAATTAGAATTTACGCTTTACTGGTTAGCTAAGTTGAGTATTTCTAATCAGTATTTAATTGACACAAAAAATTGTGTCATTTCTTCATCATATATAAGAGTCTAATGCTGATCCCTACTTACTAATTACTTCCATGAATTATAAATTATAAAAGATATGATAAATAAATTCTCGACTTTTAAAGCAGACTGTTTTATACATCTGAGAGAAAAATAAATCATTTGGTTAGAGGGCTAAGGATTCTAACATGTCAACTTTTCTTTTGTTGAAAATTTAATTTTGTTTTTGCACGCTCGATTAGCTTGAGATAAATTGCTAAAACAATGAACTAATTTAACTCAACGACTCAAATTATCTACTTCCACTACATCATATAAAGGGTCACTAATTTTGGCTAAAGGCGATTATGGAAATGCAACATATATACTGCTATTCTCCAACCATGCGAAAACTATGATGGTTGACCACATAAAATCTAGTTGATGATTATTCATAAGCTCCAAGAAGATTATGGTGGCCATTAATTGTGCCGAAAGTTGGACAATGAGATCTTTTATGATGCAAACTATTAAAGACAGAACAATATCATTAGGTTGCAGAATAATTGATGGTAGATGCAAAGTAGAATACTTATTTATAGGCTCAAATTAAATGCAGATATCGATGTACTTTTTTCTCTACGACTGCGCTATGTATGCACAAGAAATTAGCCCACGTAAGTGTATAAAAAAAAAATACTAAATGCAATTATAAATGGTTATTGACTAGTGCAATTATTTGTTTGAAGACGCTAAATGTGTGAAAAGAATTACATTTTAGTTGGTGTTTGGAAGGCAGTCACAGTAACAAGAGAAGGGAGAATTCGTTGGTTTGGTTTATGAGTGTAATTACCGCCAAAATGTCATTATTTAGATGTTAATTTTCTGAAAAAGTAAGGTTGAAAAAGACCGAAAGTTTTGCTACTAATAGATTGGGACGGGTGTAAGTGTAATCAATCAGCAAAGCAACAAAGGAAACTTCATTAATGTCTTTCTTTTGCCACCACTTCAGTTTTTTTTTTTTTTTTCCTTTTCTACAGCTCTAAGTATAAATACTCATGTATTATAAGCATTGATATTTTTACTTTTATCATATCATATTATATTTATATTCGCATTTTTTTTTTCTTGTATAATTTTGTATCTCAAAGTATATATATGGTCATGTTCACCCCTTGTCTAAGACAATTTATATATATAGTGCTTATTTTACTTCACTTTTTTCTTAGCTTTTACACCATGTTTGGTAGCATAAAAAATAGCCGGAGAGAAGAGAGGAGCACTTATAAACATTATTAACGCGTGTTTGATATGACGGAAATAGTAATTGTGAGGAAAATTGGTGGAAATCTTACACAACAATTAATAATATCTAAACATTAAAAAATAAAATAAAAAATTGTTGCTTGATATTACTGGACTGGACCCATTTCAAAGCATTCTGATCTTCCAGTGGGCTGGGTCGGTCAGTAAGGTAAAAAATGTTGCGACTATTTTTTTTATGGACAAAATGGGTCTCCAATCTTTTAAAAAAAAAATATTTATCTTACATTTTAGGATAAAACACTTATTTCTCAAACGTATCGCACTAATTGCAATTTTCGCTTGCATAAATAAAATTAAGAACAATACACCATAATTTAAGTCAATTTTTTAAAATATTTTTTTATCTAATTTTAAAACATTTTAAAAGAATAAATCCTCATTAAATTTTGCCTAAAAACAAAGTGTATTTTTTTAGTGAGACGATCATAATCGAGGTACTATTATATACTAAACATCAACACATTGAATGAGATTAACTCCTTTGATTAGAGCAAACTTCATGGATGTGTATTCAAGAAGGATTTTTTGTATATAAAAATTTAATCATTTTTTAAAACAAATTTGTGTATTTTTTTAACTCGGGATAAATTATTATAAGCATTTAATTATTTTAAGAAAAATAATTTTTATACTATCTATTCTTTTCAAATTTTATAAGAACTAATCAAAAATATCTATTGAAATTATTACTTTTTGACCGAAAATATTTATAATTAAAGTCATTTCTCATAATTTAATAAGTAATTAGTTATCAAAGAAAGATGATGTTATTGATAAAAGGCTTCTGGAAGGGTCTTAGTCATCAGTTTGTTAAAACAATTTCACCTTCCTGTTCTTAGATATAAGGCTCATTTGAATTGAACGTGAACATTAATGATAGTCTTGCCCTTCAAGGATATTGGGGATAATGGTGAGACTCGGAGTTTTTGAGGAATGTAGGTAATATGGAGAAGATGCATCTTGAGTGGGGTCAGCCATTGTTGAATGTAACAGCCAGAGCTCTAAATTTCAGAGAGAGAAAAGACACATAAACATTAGAAAAATAATATTTTTTTTCTCACAATAATTACAGAAAAAAGGGTCCTATATATACAAGACTTACCTAACATAATTTGTTATATGACTGACCACTAAGAAAAAAGATTACAATTGCACAAAAGAATCTCAAAAGGAAAATTACAAAATAATCAAATAACAAAAAGGTAGAATTACTCTAACGGACCGATGACTAAGACCTTTCCAGAAACCTTTTATTAATAACATCATCTTTCTTTGATAACAGCTAAATACATTTAATTTTCACGATTTCATATAAAATATACACTACATTTACTAAGTTATTCTTAATCACATTTATTATAGATAATATTCTTATCTATTATCATCAAGATATTTTTAAATTAAGAACATTAAACAAAATTAATTTGATTGAAGTTTATTTATTTAAGTTCAAGGACTTTAAGCATTTTTTGTTTGCATACAGTTCAAAGGGAGTAGGAAATACATTTTTAATTATGAGAAAATAGGTAATGCATTAAGAATGTAAATTACTTTTTACATTATCATTCAATTGCAAACCATAATTTATGATAAATAATTGACTTTAATAATAAGCAAGTAAAAAAAATACCAAAAATAATATCTAATTATATGATCACAATGTAAAACTATTTTATATTATGAATACATATCATTAAACTCATTAATTATTATATTACATATTTATATTTTAATTATAGAAATAATGTTAACAACATTTTATTAAAATTTATTTGAAATCACAAAATTTAATAGGTGATGCATCTCGGTTGACAAGTATATCTTGATATAGATATGAGATCCGCTAATAGTTTTAATTTTTAATTAATTTCAATGAATAATAAAGGGTATTAACATCTCTATATCTATTACTTCTTATTTATTTTTAATAGTTGGTTTTTTGAGAAGAGTTAATTTTTTTATTTATTTTTTGATCTTGAAATTCAAAAGAACATTAATTATTTTTTTTTTATCAATTACATCTTACTTT